GCTCATGAAGATTCAGAGTGCCAACCTCAAGTTGAGTCCGAAGAAATGTTCACTATTCAAACGGCAAGTTAACTTTTTGGGGTATGTAGTGTCGGAAGAAAGTATTCGCATGGATCCAGAGAAAACAGCCGCTGTCAAGGATTGGCCGGTTCCAAAAGACAAGACGCAGGTTAGAGCATTTTTGGGTTTGTGCTCCTATTACCGGCGATTTGTGAAGAACTTTGCAGATATAGCCAAACCTCTGCACAAGCTAACCGAGGAGAAGCGACATTTCTGCTGGGATGAAAGTTGTAATATCGCATTCCAGGAGCTCAAGGACCGTCTGTGCAAAACACCTATTTTGGGATACCCTGATGCAAGCAAAGATTTTATAGTTGACACAGACGCAAGTGATATAGCACTTGGCGCTGTGTTGTCTCAACGGAATGGTGACCAAGAGGTCGTGATAGCGTACTTCAGCAAGTCGTTGTCAAAACCGGAAAGAAACTATTGTGTCACAAGACGCGAATTGCTAGCTGGGGTAAAGTCGTTACAGCATTTTAGCAAATATCTTCTGGGGCGAAAATTTCACTTACGAACTGACCATGCTGTACTAAAATGGCTATTGCAGTTTAAAAATCCAGAAGGACAAGTTGCGAGGTGGATTGAACTACTGCAGGAATACGACTTTGAGATCGAACATCGCAGCGGGAAATCTCGTGGCAACGCAGATGCATTGTCGAGAAGACCTTGTCCTGAAGAATGCAAACTTTGTACTTGGCAAGAGAGTAAGGAAGTGGTATCCATGAAGATGCTCAGGACAGACCACCTCAGCAACGAGTGGAAGGACAGCTTACAACGTGCACAGCAGGAAGATCCGGACATCAAGCCGATTCTGCAATGGATAAAGGCCAGTGCTCCCAAGCCCAAGTGGAGCAACGTCTCAGCGATGAGTTCGACCACTAAAAGCTATTAGGCTCAGTGGGACAGCTTGCTGCTTCAGGATGGAGTTCTATGCCGTAAATGGGAAAATGTTCGTGGAGACAGCTGTCATTTGCAAATTGTTGTCCCTAGAGCTAAAGTACCGGATGTTCTACAGCTGTTCCATAATGATTGTTTAGGAGGCCATCTGGGAGTTAAACGAACTCTACTGAAGATCCGAGAACGGTTTTACTGGGTCCACTGTCGAAACGATGTCGAGGACTGGTGTCGCAAATGTACAAGTTGTGCGGCTGTAAAGGGACCTCAGACTCGTAGTAGAAGTGCATTGAAGTTGTACAATGTTGGTGTACCATGGGAGAGAATAGCCATTGACGTGGCGGGGCAGTTTCTGGAGAGTGAAAACGGTAACAAGTATTTCATGGTTGTGATGGATTACTTCACTAAGTGGCCAGAAGTCTTCGCTATTCCAAATCAAGAAGCTTAAACAGTTGCAGATAAACTAGTTCATGAAGTTTTCTGCCGTTTTGGAGTACCTTTAGAGATTCACAGCGATCAAGGAAGGAATTTTGAGTATCAAATATTCCAGGAAACTTGCTGAGTTATGAGTACTCATAAAACAAGGACGACTTCTTATCACCCGCAATCTGATGGAGTGGTAGAACGATTTAATCAGACATTGGAGAGGTACCTAGCTAAAGTTGTAGACAATCGGCAACTTGATTGGGACAAGCACATACAACCGTTACAACGCTCCGATGACGTACTAAATGTGTGATTTTTTTAAAACGATATGAAAGTGATCACGTGATGACGTACTAATTGTGTGATTTTTTTTAAAACGATATGAAAGTGATCACGTACTCAGTACGTCATTAACGTCCTGAGGAAAGAGCGTCATCACGTACCCAATACGTGATCGGCTGTTAAAGTGTTAATGCCCCTATTACACTACCTTAAATCAGGGCCCTGAATGAAGGGTGGGCGTGGCCCTTGTTTAATTAATTAAATCTAATCCAAAATATACTATAATACCATAGCAAAGCTACTACTAATTTATTTAATAGTAGCTTATATAATAGCATAGTAAATTATATATAAAAAATATGAGTATCTGAGGTAAGGTTAAGTATAAACAAATATTTTCCAAGTGCGAATCGGACTTCCGAGCTTCCGTACCATCTTACAAGATTTAATATACATATTACTATCGATGAAAAAAGCCAAAAATACACCTTTCTTTTTCTAGTAGGAAACCCTTTAATTTCAAATTTATTTTTACTGTTTGCTGTTATAGCGGCAACACAAAAACACGTTCTGTGAAAAATATAACCATCTACCAATTACGGATCATGAGATACAGCCCGCTGACAGACAGACACACGGACAGCGGAGGCTTCGTAATAGGGCCCTGCTGGTTACCTTTCGGGTACGGAATCCTAAAAAGTACTCAGTTGTTCACTCACATATGTATGGTTCCTTCTTCAAAGGACAATATTAGCCACCTGCATGGTTCTCGTATGACATGACCAATGTAATACCTGGACTGACCTTTCTGAGTTTGTTTTGGCAGATCGGGTGCTTATTCTCAGTTTCATGTTTTTGTTGTGTTAATGTGTTTAAAAAAAAACAACTTACAAAACAAATTTTATTTATCATTGACTGCCCTTCTTAGATTCTTATGTACTTACTTAAATTACATTAGGATATGAGATTCCTATACGTAAGCACGATTATCGAAAATCTAAAAATTAGGTACCTATTCTAATTAAATTAATATATAATTTTAAGATTTTCGATAATCGTGCTTATCAATGAGATGTTTTCGTTAGTTAGCAAATTAAAGTATTTAAGTACCTAATGTAGTACCTGTATCGAAAGTTCATTATTATGTACCTACCTGTTTTCAATTTTAACTAAATGTGCTTCAAAAAACTTATGGGTACATTTTAGCAGCTATATTCATCCCGGCTTCAGCAGTGGACACGAACAAATCGAAGCAATTTTTCTTAATAAAGATGTAGATATGCAGGTATTACAACCATAAATAGATAGCAGCGGCTAACCTAGTGAGCATCTGTGGGTGCGCGCTGCGCCCCCCTCCGTCCATCCCATTGTTTGGGGAAACAATTTGTAGCGCAAGGCAAGACAATTTACAACAAAAAGGAGCGCGCGAAATTTTATAAACAGACCTTTAGGAGTCTAGATGTCATGAAAAATGTATTAAATGTATCTGTTCAAAATAAAATTATTTGCATTTTGAATAACTAATCTATCCCGGTATGGTAACTGTTTGGCACGTTTCGTTCTTATTATGATATTTATTTCCGCCTAAAGATGTGTTAAAACTGGTGTTGAAATTTGGAATTTTCGACGCTTATAACTTTTAAACATATTCTTTTTTTACTTTTTTGTTTCAGGGCTAGATAATGATGAGACAAATTGAAATCATTTTTTATAGGTATTTTGAACGTACACCATCAAACAGTGGAGTAATCGCCCGAATACGTTTGTTTGGAAGAATGAGTGACTAGTGTACCCTTATTAATTTTCACAATCAAATATCCACAATTTTACATCGATAATTCGCCTGTTTAATGATTTGCAATTAAAAATTTTGGGATTGAGTTATGTCTGCTAAATACTCGTAAACTTTCTAAATATAAAAATTTAGACGGTATCTAACTTTGACATATTTTGTTTCGAATATTTATTTTTCGGCAACATAAAATTCGTGATAATCATCGTTCGCAATTTTTTACCTTCGAAAAGTTGGTTATTTCGTAACCTTTGACGGCAAACTAAAGCATCGTTCATAAATCTTCGCTCATGAAGAACCATGTTTATGAACGATATATGTATGTTTAAAAAATTGATGTATCCGTTTGCATCACTAGTCACGCATCGAATAAGTGCCCTAACTCCCTGAGTGTTATTACACTGCACGATGGCAAGGGCACTGCAGACTGGGTCCACTTTCACGCCCTAATTAGGGACCCTTACTCCCTTTCTCTTATTACACCACCCCGAATCAGGAAGGAGGACCCTGATTCAGGGTAGTGTAATAGCGCTACAATATTATATTGCATAGTTGGTGTAGATCCATTAATCGTATTTTATCCGGCAAATTGACATATTTTGATAGTGAAGATGATACAAAAATTGCAAAACAAGCATATTATAATAAACACAGGCATTATAAAAATTAAAAATGAAATAATTATCTTTCTTCTTATCTTATCTTCGTTGCGAATACCCTATAAATACCAGTGCACCTTTTGAAACTGTTTTAACTACTTTTAATAATATTGTAAGCAGTATTATGTACAAAAAAGTAGGCAAAAAATTGTTTCAGTACGTATACGAATTAAAAAACATTTTAAAACATTTTCTGCTACTATACAGTAGGTATATGTAGAGCTATAATATATTGCAAATTAGTTCGGATTCAATTTGTAGGCAGAGCCAGTAGGCCAATTTTGTCTGCAATAAAATATCGTTAGCGGGCTCTCTTTTCCTGTACAATATCTTCTTTCTATATATTTATTATACTCTTTGGTGTCGAGTTTTGGCGGGAACTTGGCCGTTGTCGGATTGTTGCTCCTTTTTGCCGCTTAAATAATGGTTTGAAGTGGATTTTGATTCGTAAAAATGATGTGATTTTGTGAATGAAGTATCTGTGCGAGTAAACTGTTAGAGAAAACGATATTAATATAAACCTCAAGTTATTTTGATCGCTTGGGCGCCTTATTAACTTGAAGGGTTGTCGTCATCAACTGTCCGCTGGACTAAGCTGTCGTCTAAATATCCCAAAAACTTCGCAATGTGACGCATCAGCATATTGTGAAGAAGAAATATATAAAAATGAAGATTCCGAAAGAAATCAAAGCTTCAGAAAGGCTAGAACCTAGAGCTGTAAAGCCAGTTAAATAAAGAAACTGTCGGTGTAATTTTAAGTAACGCATAAAATCGAGCCGTATACCTACTATTTAATTTGCAAATGGGAGCTTGGTGTCAACTAAATAAAAATGCTTGCAGTTTAATTATATTTGAAGAAATTTTGCTGTAGAACTCCATATATCATGGAAGACGATAGTGATGATAAAGATGATACGAAAAGGTAAGTATTAACAGTAGTAACATTGAAATTTGTAATAATGTGTAAATGAGTATTTTTTCAAATTCCTGAAAAAAAATTAAATATTGTTAATAATATTTAGTACTTTATAATAGCTTAAGTTATAAATGTTATTGAAACAGGCCATTTATTTTTACTAAAAGCATGGAGATGTAATTATATTATACAGGCCTGTTATACATTCTAAATGTTATTTTTTGATATATAAAGATACTTCATATAAAATTTTCTTTCTAATGAATTTTAAAATTTGAACTATTAAACAGACGTGGTGCCTGCCAGACCTCAGTGAGAATAGGTCGAAATTATAATTACATATTTTAGCCCTTTATTGCGTATATATTTAGTATTGTAACCAAGAGTTTTTTTTTATAGAATAGGGTGACAAACGAGCACACAGTCCACCTGATGGTAAGTGGTTGCTGCGGCCCATAGACATCTACATCTATCCTCATTAAAAATCAAAATGCAGATGCGTTGTCACCCGTGAGGACTGAGATGGAAGGCGTTGTTTCCAGTAAAAAGGGTCTCCAGTTCTCTACACTCACCATACGAAATACAGCAGCATTAAGCTACTATTTCACGCTGGTATTCTGTGAGAGCGTGGTCCTTCCCCGGTAGAGCCGACCCATTCGTGCTACAACTATACTACTAATATAACTGCAGCATGGCTCTACCACGTATCGTATATATAGTGTATACTCTAATAATAAACAAAAATAAAACTCGGTAAGTAAAATTTTTAAAACTTAAGGTTAATACCTAGACGAAAACACTTAAACAGTGCATCTGTAATTTTAAAAACAATTGGGAATTTCAATTTACTTTGGAATGTGTTAGATAAAATACCTTGTAGTGAACTTTAAGTTAGAGATGAAACACTGTTGGCCGGAGACTAGATACTAGATGTTCGGCCAGTCTTATCGCCGGATAGCCGGATATCCGGCCGACGGATATTCTGCCAAACATTGCCATTTGGTGCATAGTAAGAAGTGAAAAGTAAAGTCAGTGCAAACTGTTTGCGATCGTGACCCCCATATTTCGTGGGTAGGTATTGCTACACAATACCAAAATTGCACAACACCCTGCATCAGTGTGTACAGCAAAAGACTTTTTCTGGAGCTGGTCTTGTTTATGAAGACAGAGGAAACCGCTTGTTACATTTCAATGCAGAGAAATTAGTATTTATTCACTATAATTTGCTCTTAGCTACGTAGTACTATTATTTATTCTGTGCCTTAGCACAGTACAAGTTCTAATTTTGTAAGTTTTAAAATGAAAATTTTGTGATTACTGATTATATTTGTTAAGGGACATAAATGAAGTACTTAACTAAATTTGATATTTTGTGCTTTATTTAAAATCCGGTATCCGGTCTGATAACTGTTTGTTATCCAGTATCTGGCCAGATACAAATTTTAGGCCGGATAGGCAAAATACCGAATACTTACTGGATATCTGTTTCATCTCTACTTTAAGTCTGTGAAAATAGCTTGTAGAATATGAAATTTCGCTCGAGACTAAACTTGCTTGGTGCAAATGGAGCATTAAGACAAAGGCGTCCCCTGCCATGCTATCTGTAAATTTCTACAACTCAAGGAACCTCATTCAAACCTTAGCGCAGTCCACTACCATCTGGAAATGGCGAAGCAGTTCTTGCCATTTCTAACCGAGAGACAGATGTCCTCTCCGGCTGATACTTCATATCCCTCCTACCCCGGGTACAAATTAGAACACTCCGTTTGAGTGTACGTCAAAGTGGACATCTGTTTCTGACGCCTCGGCAGCCTTGAATGGACGAACCTGTACATCCTATGGCTGTGCGTAGATGCGAAGCGCAGCGAAGATGATCCCCGTGTCTACGGGTGCCTCTAGGTCCAATAGCAGTAATGCCGACACAGACTGACTCATAGACCACGCCCAGATGGCTGTAGACTCTGTGTTACCACAGGATCGTAATGCTTGGTGATTTTAGCACCCACCGCCCTGAATGGCTTGGTTCCTGTTTAACTGATCATGGGGGTAAATCTGTTTATGGCTTTGCTTTGGCATATGGTCTGACACAGTTGGTTATCTCGCCTACGCGGATCCCCGATGTGGAAGCTCATGTACCTTCCTTGTGGGACCTTCTGCTGACCTCTCATCCGGATGGATATCAGGTCTCTGTCGATGACCCTCTGTGCTCCTCGGACCATTGTCGGACTGGAGTACAGTACCACTTACGTTGCCATCGCGGTTGCGTTCTGCAGGTTGCTGCCGTGTTTGGCATTATAGGTTAGCCGATTGGGACGGGATGCGATATTTTTTGCCTCCTACCCTTGGGGGTGAGTTTGCTTCTCGCCTGATGATTCCAGCGTTGTTGCTGATTCTGTCGTTGATGTGGTACTACAGGGAATGCAACTTTTTATTCCATCATATGTGATATCTATCGGAGGAAGAACCCAGCCATGGTTTTGTCGCTCCTGCGAAATTAGATTACGCCATAAGCAGGACTGCTACCTGGCCTGGGCTGACGCATCGACGTCTCGAGATGCAAATAACAGCGCTCTTCAAAAGAAGTATAATTCCGCCTGCAGGTCCTTCAAGCGTCATTGCCAAGGCAAAGTCAGAGCACATCTGCAGAATTGGCGAGAAACTAATTCGACTTCTTTCGGGAACACGTGCATTCTGGTTTCTCGCCAAGTATGTCCAAAGGAACTTCTGTTAATCATATCTCCCATCTCAGAACAGGGAAGACGACTCACTGGCCCATGCCACAAAGAACGATCTCTTTGCGTCCAACTCGACTCTTGATGACGGGGGAAACACACCGTCGACCATCCCGCGGTTTGAGTGCTCCATGCAGGATGTGCTATTTTTACCTAGCGCTCGGTGCGCAGAGCACTCATCTCCTTGGACATCAACAAGTCGAGTGGGCCTGATGGCGTCCATCCTATTGTGCTGAAGATGTGTGCTCCGGAATTGGCACCAGTTTTAACGCGTCTTTTCCGGTACTCCTAATCCCTAGGTGTAGTCCCGAATTCATGGAAGACAGTTTTAGTGCACTCGATCCCTAAAAAAGGCGACCGCTCAGATCTGTCTAACTACAGGCCTATCGCTATCACCTCCTTGTTCTCCAAAATAATGGAAGCCATTATAAACTGCCAGCTCATGAGGTGCCTTGAGGATCAACAACTGATTAGTGACCGCCAGTACGGTTTCCATCGAGGTCGCACAACTGGTTATCTTCTGGGTTACCTAACTCATAGATGGGCGTTGCCAGTAGCGCCCGAGAGGGAGGCGTTGGCCGTTAGTTTGGACATAGCGAAGGCCTTCGATCAGGTTTGGCTTGCCGAGAAATTGTGCAATTGGATTAACAGTTTCTTCCAGATCGGAGCATCAAGGTCGTAGTAGACGGCAAATGCGCCGATTACAAGCGCATTAACGCTGGTGTTCCACAATGATGCGTGCTATCACCAATGCTGTTTCTTCTGCATATCAATGATATGTTGCATACCGGTAACATGATATGCGGACAACAGCACTGGTAATGCTTTATACACTGGTCGTACCAATATTTCTCGGGAAAATGGTCGCCGAGTAACAAGACAAACTTTGTATCTAAGGTCGAGACTTCGTTGAATAAAGTCTTGGACTGGGGGTGACTGTATCTAGTCCAGTTCAATTCCCAAAAGACACAAGTTTGCGCTTTAACCGCTAAAAAGAACCCCTTCGTCGTATTTCCTCAGTTTCAATGCACTCACTTTGTTGCCTTAGCCAGTATCGGATTCCTCGGCGTCGACATGTCGAGTGACATGCAGTTTCGTGTTTACTTGGAAGAGAAGGCTGGGACAGTATTTCATGCCGGCACACTGCCTGCAACTTTACAAGGTGCGGTTCCGCCGCACATGATATTCTGTTCCCATCTCTGGGCTGGGGCTTCCCAGTGCCAGCTCCTTCCGTTTGATCGCATCCAGCGCAGAGCCGTTGGAATTGTCGGCGGCTGAGCTCTTTCCGATCGGCTTGACTCACTGGCACTGCGAAGAGATGTTGCACCTCTTTGCGTATTTTATCGCATTTACCACGGGGAATGTTCCGATAAATTTTTCCTTATGGAATCGACTACCACCAGAGATTTTTCCTGACCTATACGACTAAGGGACCTTCAAGAAAAGAGCCTACTCATTTTAAAAGGCCGGCAACGCATCTGCAATTCTCCTGGTGGTGCAGTTGTTCATGGGCTGTGGTAATAAGCCGTATGATCGTTTGCCCCCTCTCCTGTAAAAAAAATATTAGTAATTTAGGTAGACTTTACAAGACAACGCAACGACTACAAGTTTTTGCTTAATATGTTAATAAATTTTTGCCAAGCCTAAGGTAAATTTTCAGTCACACCAATATCTAAAATAACTGTTGGGTGATACGTAAAGGGAGTGTGACATTCTAATAGAAACAGATATTTTTTATTCAATATAGATTATAGGTAATACTTATTGAAAGCAATGATTTCAAAAGGAAGGATAGGCCCATCTAAATATTTTACTTATAACTTTTTCATACAAGAAAAAGTAGCGTATCTGTCACAATACAAACGTCATATCATAACATAACACGACGTAACCAGGGTCGGATTTCGTAGTATAATTATCCTAATTGTACCATTATTTCATAGTTTGTAGTATATAATATTGTAATAATACTAAACGAAAATACCATAATTTTACCTAAAGGTCGACTTGTATTATTATTGGGTCCTATTACTTTTTAATATTAACCCTACGATATTAAGATTTTCTGTATTGTACATGAGTACCACGTTTTTTTTAAATAAAATTAGAATTAACTACCTTTCTGGTGGTGCTCGATCAATGCATTTATGTTGCATCCGTGATACAACTATTATGAGGGGCTACCACGATAAAAACTCTATGCTCCAGAAGCAATCAAGTTTGAAAATAAAATTTCAAATGAATCAGAATTTCAGTTGCCCCAATGCATGTTGGCGAATTTTTTTATTCTTATTTATCAGACATGCAGGTTTCTTAGCTATGTTTTCCTTCACCGCCGAGCACGTGGTAAATCAGCACTTATAATAACAATTAACAATTTCATTGGTGCTGGCGGGGATCGAACCCGGGTTGCTCGCGTACTGTGAAATTTACAGCGAGCGCTAACCATACGAGCTATCAAGGCTCGGCTTTTTTATTTATTTTATTTTATTTACAAATTCTACTATTTTAGTTCTGAAGGTTTTATCTGGTTGAGATTCTACGGGTAAAAGCTAGTATATTACAAAAAGGATACAGTTGGCTTTAATTTAAGAAGCAAAAATAAATTTGTAACACCATCACATTATGATAAAACAATTAATTTATTGTAAAATCAAATATTTACTTAATTCGAATCCATCTGCCTAATTTAATAGATCTAACATTAAATTATTTTTAAAATATCACAATATGCACGTAATGATATGCATGTAAAGACTCCATAATAAACAGCAAAATTTATCTGTGGATTGGATCAAAATGATGATTTGTAATATGAAAAAGAAAATAGACTATAATGTACTAAAATACTTTGTATTTTGTATTTATTACACAGAAGAACTCGCAATTTGAGTGAGAAAAAGCGCCGTGACACATTTAATATGCTTGTTAACGAGTTGTGCTCAATGGTTTCAAGTAACAACAACAGGAAAATGGACAAGTCTACAGTCCTCAAGGCCACTATATCCTTTCTGAAAAACCATAATGGTTTGTAGATCTTGTATTTTTTTTTCAAATTAATAGTTTTTACGTATTGTGTGACCAGTAAGTTTTGAGATGCTCGAATTTTAAATATGAAACGCACCGGTGTTATAATTTTCTAAAAAGCAAATTTTAGCAATTCGCTCAATATTAAAAATAAAAATACGTGTGGCACTCGGTGACTGCCGCGGTAAAGCTATTGCATAGCATTTTTTATCAACTTATGCAATTATAATTATTTATTTAATTTATTTATGCAGTTAAGTCTTTGATATTAAATCAAGTTACACTTTTTGAGCGTGGTGACCGATAAGAAAATAATTTTTTTTCTCTTATTGAATAAATGAGAAGTTAATATTGTTTAAAATATTTTTAATATCTTACAATACATGTAGGTTATTCAGGAATTTTTATCATTGAGTTAGCAGCTGGTGTACACGCATACGTCTAGCCGCACGCACACAAACACCGTGCCGAAGTCTGCCGAGTGCCGAAGTCTGCCGAACTGAAACGAAGTTAGACGATGCACGGCTTTCAACGCCACACCTCCGTGCCCGTCGGAGTGGGGAGCGTGAGGTTTTTTCGTTACGGAATTTCTGGATTCGGTCCCCGCGCTCAAGGCCCGCGATAGAAGCTATGCAATAGCTTAAAAAACAAAGTTCTCTTAATTTTCCCGCAACGCTTCCCGCGCTTTTCACTATATAAAACGATGGATCTTAACCGAACATTTGCGCGCTATGATCTATTATGATTTTAAATTTGGTTTAACCGAACAATTAAATTTACAACGATTACAATCAGCATTAGGGGACTCAGCTCTATCACGCTCAACAATTGTTTGCTGAAGTGGTTTGCTGAATTCAAAAGGGGTAAAATTAACCTTAAAGATGACCAAAGAACTGGAGCCCCGCAAACAGCAGTAACGGCAGAAAATGTTTGGACTACTGAAATGTTGGTGCGAGAAGACCCACTAATCACATATACGGACATCGAAAAGATTATAGGCATTAGTTCGAGGAGCATTCTTACCATCCTACATCAACATCTTGCAGTGAGGAAGCTTTGTTGTCGATGGATCCCTTGTTTGCTCTCCGAAAGCGAAAAACAGACTCGTGTGGATTGGTGCCATGAAATGCGTCTGCGTTTTGAAAACGGGGCATCTAGGCGTGTTTCAGAAATCGTTACTGGTGACGAGATATGGATCTATCAATATGATCCGGAAAATAAAAGGCAATCATCGGTATGGGTTTACTCAGAAGGACAGTTACCGACAAAACTGCAAAGACCTCGCAACGTCGGCAAAAAATGGTGGCTAGTTTTTTTTCGCGGAGCGGACAATTGTCGACGTCAATGCTGGAAAATTGTAGGTCAGTCAACTCTGAATGGTATACTTCAGATGCATTACCCAAAGCTCTTCAAGCTGTGCGGAAGAGAAGACCAAAGACCGGGCTTCGGGGAATCATGCTGAATTACGATAACGCCTCTTCACATACCTCCCTTAGAACAAAAGCATTTATTGAGGAATCTGGTGTTGATACTCTAAGTCACCCACCCTATAGCCTTAACTTAGCTCCTTATGGGTTTCTTTTTGTTCCCAAGAGTCAAAGAAAAACCAAAACGCAAGTTTTTTTCAAGCGCCGAAGAAGTCGTGGCTGCTGCCTACGAAAAAGCGATTTCCGACTTGTCAGATCAAAACTGGCAAAAGTGTTTTCAGAGTTGGTTAAGGCGAATGGAACTTTGTATAGAGCATGATGGAGAATATTTTAAAAAGTTGTAAAATAAATATTAATAGTATCTAGTATCTATCATCATATCTTTATATCATCTATTCTAGATACTTTTTGTATCTCTCAAAACTTATTGAGTGTCCTACGTACTTTTAATTGTTTCATATTGATAAATTTACCCATCATATTCAATCAATAAAATTAATATAAAGTTTTTAAAATTGTAACATGAAACTATTTCTGAAATAACTTAAACTTTTGTTTTAGAAATAACAGTCAGGTCAAGGGCACATGATATTCAAGAAGACTGGAAACCTTCATTTCTGACAAATGAAGAGTTCACGTACTTGGTGTTGGAGGCTTTAGAAGGCTTTGTAATGGTTTTCTCCGCTACTGGCCAAATTTACTATGTATCTGAAAGCATCACATCCCTTTTGGGCCATAATCCGGTACATTAATAATGTTAATTTTCTTATTAATTTTTAGTACAATTTATCTTTTTCCACTTTACTTCTACATCAGTTTTGATCTTATTACAATAAATTTTATTCTTTGACAGTGTTGGATAAGATATCATTATTATATTTTTAGGCTGACCTATTGAATAAAAGTATTTTTGATCTGGCATATGAAGAGGATCGACCTCATTTATACAGTCTTCTACAAAATCCTGGGCCTGCAGTTGACCCTATTCAGCCTTTACTAAAAGGTAAGTTATTCATAACATCATTTATGTTCAGAGCCATGTCCAAAATTTATATCAAAAAGTATATGTGTCAATATTGCAAATTTTGCAATTATTACGTAAGATAATTATGGTATTTTGCCGTGTGGTGACGACGTAAAAGAATTCATCACTTCATTACGTCGCGACGGTGTCGTAACAGACGATTAAGAAATCAGTGAAGTCTTATGGTGTTCGAGATGACCTTTTTAATAATATCTTTTTTACTCCTGACAAAGTAACCAGACCCGCGACTGAGAGCAGCGTGACAGGTGCGAGACGTCTGGTATCGCCATTCCTCCCTACTTGTCCATGGCCCACGTCCAACTGTGGACTTATACGGACTAATGAAAATATCTATGAAGCGTTCTCAAATCTCTCTGGACGAATTTACTCGAATAAGCTCTATTGAAGTAATGTTCTATGGAGTTTGTATAACATAGCATAGTATAGCACGTGGCTTTCGATCACGTAAACGTTTCATTCACTTACGGGGAACTTTTGAACAGCTGAGAACATGTACATATGTATTGTATTGTAAGTCTCGAAATATTTTTCCTACAAACAATTCAGGCTTTCTTCTAAGCAAGCGATGTGACGCACCGCATGAGGATATTTATGTTTTTTTTTTAATTTTGCAATGTTATGCTTTCATAATTTTCCGTCATGTGGAAATTTTGGCTGGTGCGCTTTTATTTGCATTTTTTTGCAATTTGTTCTTGACGATTTATTTTAAATAGCTTTCAATCAAATATTCTTACTTAAATTTACTAAGACATTTAACGTGTTGCGAAGTTTAACAATTTTCAAAGGTCACGAAGATAATGAGCGATGCTTGTATATGTTTAATAATAATAATAATAATCATTCATTTATTGCATGTTGCAAAGTATTAAGTTATAATTTTTATTATATTTACAGAGCATTTTACACCCAGTGCGAGCATAGCATATACATATATGAAGGAGTTATTTTTTTTTAAATTAATATATGTACTAAGAATTAAGTATAATTACAATATTAATAGTACACAATTTATAGATCATTATCATTTATTTATAAAATGACATTTATTTTAAAATATAATTTCAATAATATATCTTAATACATCTCATATAGAGATATAAATAAGATTTAGAATATTAATGAAAATATTAACAATGTCAAATAAGTAAATCGAAATAATGAACTGGGTCAAATTAATTAAAATTTATTTATAATTTATCATTAAATATTCATTTAAATTGTAATAGCTTTCACAATAAGCATTTCCTTAACATCTATTTCAACGACGCTGGAGGTTTCTAACTAGCTGAACTCATGGGGAGTTTATCATGTTAGTCTTAAAAGAAATCTTCTTGATAATATAAAAATTACAAATATCTCTATTCATATAATACAGATTATTAAAAGTCCTTTGTTGAACATGGGCCTTCCTTAAATTCCTTATAGAGGGGATATTTGCCATAGATATCATGCTTAGCAGGCGGAATAACATCGGTTTTTTTATTCTTTTTGATCTGTTTTTTGTGTTTATTTTAGAAACTGTAAAAGATTTCGGAAAAATTCAAAATATAAATTTAAATTCAGAAAGTCTATGATTTTTTCCTATGTCGTGGAGGCAGCTTACATACGTAAATTATACAAAGACAAACATCTGTACCCGGAACAATTATTTGTAGGCCATACAAATTAATACATGTTGCTTTCATCCCGCGGTCCTGCAGCGTCACGACGGCTGTTGTTTTCAGCAAGATATCTCTTACGACATGCATGAGATTATATGTGCTAGTGATTTAATTCCATTAAACGGCGATATTATAATTGATACATTGTATCAACGCACACATATGCACCTACAACCGTATTAATGGTTGCAAATGAGTTTAGATGCATACGTGTATATGAAAGCGTGTTATTACAGGAATTAGAGTATGATTTTGGCTTCGTTTTTGCTTCACTTGAAATGCTCGCAGCGTTCTATTTTTTTAATGAGGTATTATATAAATAGTTAATAATAATTGAAAATGCGAAAGTTTTATAAAAACAGACAGCAGTATATGCGTATTTTTTTATGTTAAAAATTTTAAAAAGCGAAATTTCATAATTCACAGAATAGAAATTGCATATTCTCATATTATATTAATTCAATGTACTGTGTTAAAAGTATAAATAAACTTATATCATTTTATGGGCACAACCGTCAACGAATAGCCAATGTCTAGTGCATGTTATAGAGAACGAGATCAGGTTCCAGTGCCATCTACGCCGCAGCACGCTTGACTTCATAGATGAGGCTACGTACGAGCTTGTTGAGTTCAATGGACATTTCCGTAAGTGTTAAAATGCTATTATAGGTATAACACGCATATTTTTTAAATATAATAATATATAGTACAATAAATTATATTATGGTTACACCTGTCACTCAGAGTGGTAGTCAGAGAATACGGACATCCATTTGGCATGATCCTTATACACTTCTCTCGTTTCGTTGACATCATATATCTACGCATACATGCTAGTTGTTTAATGGCAAAATCCTGAAAGTAAATGATGCAAATAATGAGATGCCCAAAAGACAACCTTCATTTTATGATTTGGACAGTTAATTATTAAATCCGTTATCTATAATATGCCAATAAGATTTTATTTATGGTTTACGTTCTGAAAATAGTAAATGCAAGTAATGAATTGCCAAAAAGGACTGAAAACACATTTTTAATTTGAAAACCGGTCATATAATATGTAATTCGTACCCAGAATTAGAGTTCAGATGACCTGTATTTTCCGATGCAACAGTAATCGAAGTAAGAAATTTATTTGACGGTAAAACCACTATTACATGCATAGGCGTCCTAGAGTTATTTTGAAGTTATAGGTGGACTAATCATAATTAAACGTGGTCGAGCCATGCTGCAGCTGCTATATTATGGTTGTAGCAGGAATGGGTCGGTTCGACCAGGGTAGGATCACGCTCTCACAGAATACCAGCGTAAAATAGCAGATTGATGCTCTTGTTTTGTATGGTGAGTGTGGAGAGCCGCGAGGAGTATGTGAAGTGAGCTCTTAGCCCTAGCTACATAGGGAAATTATTTAATCTACCTTAGCCTGATAAATAGTACAGGGTGGGCCATATAAGTGTTAGCGATTTAATTCTTCAATTTCTCGGAAACGCGTGGCGCGGGGTTCGAGGGGATATGTTAGCTGCGTCGTTTCCTGGAAATTTAGTCGCCATGGAGCCGTACACGGGAGTGCAGCGTGCATTTTGTGTCCGAGCGTATTACGAAAACAATAAATCAGTGATTACTGCACGACGTTTGTATCGACATGAACACGGTTTATGCGATTTAAGTGAAGTTCCAAGCGCCAATGTGATACGAAAATGGATCAGAATGTTCGAAACAACCGGCTCGACAGTACCAATTACGGCTCGTGGTCGCCCAGTTTCTGCAACATCAGCCGACATTGTGGAGCGTGTTCGTGTTTCAGTCAACACGTAAGAGAAGTCAGTCTTTGGACATCAAAAGAACGACTGCGACGAATTTTGAGGCGTGATTTGCATTTGAAGGCTTTTAAGATTCAGATAGTCCAAGAATTAAAACCAGATGATGCCAATAACCGACTTAACTTTGTCAATTTTATGCTCGAGCGGTCCAAACATTTTAACAACGTGATGTTTAGTGATGAGGCCAATTTTCACCTTAATGCCCATGTGAATAAGCAAAATTGTCGGTTCTGGTCCGAGACTAAGCCCCGACGCTTGCATGAACGTCCACTTCACAGCCCTAAGCTTGTCGTGTGGGCTGGGATAACGTCAACCGGTATTATTGGGCCATACTTTTTTGAGAACGAAAGAGGGTAATCGATGACGGTTAGAGCTAACAATTATTGCAATATGATAACAGACTTTTTGGTGCCAGCCTTGCAAGAACTTCAAGGCAAATACCTCGAGGATGTGGTTTCAACAGGATGGAGCCACATGTCATACGGCTAGAGTATCCATAGAGCTGCTGAAAAATGTTTTTCCCGGAAAACTCATTTCGAAAAGGGGGGATATTGAATGGCCACCACGTAGCCCCGATCTCTCTCCATGCGACTATTTTCTATGGGGCTACCTCAAATCGATTGTCTACGAGAATAATCCGACCAACTTAGAGCAGCTGAAGAGGAATATTATTCAGGAAAGTAACAAAATACCGAGGAACAATTTTTTCAACGAGTTTTCCAAAATTTGCAAATAAGGTTCCAAGAGTGCCAAGCAGCCGAGGGAAGTCATTTGGACAACATTATTTTTAGATCTTAAAAATTCCTATGTTTCCACTTTTTAAAAATACAAATATATTTTTGTTATGTTTTGTAGTTCTTTTTAATTTAATAATGAAACCGCCAACATCCTTATGGCCCATCCTGTATATTGATGCAGTTGCGAAGGGACGACAACGAATATCCGTCTATATTTAGTAGTAGGGGAATTTGGAAAAAATCCGTTTCGATTTAAATGAACCTGGCTTCGTGAGCAAGAACAAGTGCGCTGAGCTGGCTCAAAACATGCTAGCGGACTTTACATCATGTTCATATATCTTAATATATATAAATTACGTGTCACGTTGTTTGTCCGCGATGGAGTCCTAAACTACTCAACCGGTTTTAATCAAATTTGCACACCATGTGCAGTTTGGCCCAACTTGAGAGATAGGATAGGTTTTTTGCCCATGAGTGACGCACAATTTTTTTTTTGCGAATTTAAGAACTTTAAATAGGACATGATAAAGGGTCGTCGAAAAAGGCAGAACAACGTCTGCCTGGCAAGCTAGTATATTATATATAGATATTACAATCAGGTGGACTGTGCGCTCGTTTGTCACCTATATATATAACCTAATTAACGCACACCCTCAGACTGGGATGTCTGAGGTGTATTGATATATTATGTTCATAATACATACACTGAATTTTTAGTTAAACATTTTTATGCACTGATTATTTATCAAATTAGTTATACTAATTCCGGAAGAATGTTGTGGTCACAGTACAAATCCATGAACGCAAAGACTTTTTTTGAAAAAAAGAAAAATGAACTTTATTTCAAGCACGTTAGCTTGAAATAAAGTTCATTTTACTTTATTTTTTATTGAATTACAGAATTAGTAATAATACAAATAAAACTGTAATCTTAAAAGTCTTATTGCCTTAAGTTACGGTCCATTTCAGTGTGTTTTGACTGTACAGATTTAGTGTGACTGTAATTTACGTAGTTTTAATTATTTTTGGGGTAAAAAATTACCTATATTAAAAATGATAGGAATCGATTCAATAAATGATTCTGAACAAACTACTTTCTCAAAGTGCGTTAATTATGTTACATGTTGTGTGCGTGTATATATATATATATATTGTAGCTGATCCATTCGTGCTACAACCATAATATAGCCGCAGCGTGGCTCTACCACATATAAAATATTTTATACGTTTTTGTGTGTTATTTGATGAATGAATATTTAATTTGAATATTAGATATATTCAAATTAAATATTCGTTCATCATGTCTAAAATATATATGATTATAGGTACAAATATGGAGCAAATTGACGAAGAAAATACGTCGGGATATGAACAAGACCAGGGGTCTGGGTGAGTTGTCTATTTCATTGATTCGTGACTTTCACTGCTTTTTAATTGTATTTATACTTTATAATCTTCAAGTCTATAACATTGGCGTCTCTTTATCTGCTACGTATTTACCAGCCCAAATAAATCCATCGTTCAAGCTGTGATTACTACTGGAATGCATTGAATGATTTTTTCATACTCATTCCACTAAGACTTATTTGTGAACACTGCGCTCATCAACGCGCTTCTTATTAGGTTGGTGTGTTTTAAGGCCACCATTTTAGAAATATAAGATATCGGGATTTTATGGTCTTATTTCATTGTTTGTTCACTTTTTCATTTAATATCATTGAGCATGGGATGCATTATATAATAGTACCTGGATGACCGAGCTTTGCTCGGTTTTTTTTGAAATTACATTTAGATACAAATTACATACTGATGAAATACGAATAATATTTTTTGACCTTATTGACATAATAGAAAAAACTGAACTGGTTATTTGAATAAAAAATCATGACTGATATATATGTACGTGTAGATATGATAGTTTAATTAAAATTTTCGTATTTTTAAACAATCCAAAAAAGGGCTCGAAATAATAGATTTTCTCACAAAAGAAGGGAATTTGAAAAAAAAAAAGGAAAAAAATTCGGACCGCAGACAGGACGCGAACCAAGGCATTACGATTTCGCGACCGCTCGGTATCCACTTGAGCTATTGATATAGTGTCAAAATTTACCTTCTTATATTGTAGCAGTTTTTCATTGCCTGAAAACATGGACAAAAAGACATTTTCTAAAAATAAATCCTAGCTAGATCGATTTATTGCCCCCGAAACTCCCTGGACACTAAATTTTATGAAAATCATTGGAGCTGTTTCCGATATTCCGATTATATATTTACAATAATTGCTCGTTTAAAGGTATAGGATATATCACCTTCAACCGCTCTGCTGTCGGGTATGCAAATGCATTGATATATAATTTAATACACAATTATTAGATGTATTTTATTATTTTGTTTATTGTAGAATCATTTTAACTAAACTCTATCACCATTTAATTAGATCGCTTTATCATGATTCACAATAATTAATCATTAATCATTAAATTGGCATCGTTATTAGATTTGGTGTTATCAGATAAGAGTAAACTTTTTTCTATTTAGCATTTAATTTGAAAATCCTTCAACAGGTTACTGTTTGTATGCACGGGTCGGCTTTTCACGCCGCAGCTGATACGCGACGTTTCTTTGGTGGATTCAAACCGGAGCGAGTTTACGTCCCGACTCAGTTTGGAGTGGAAATTCCTGTTTTTAGATCATCGCGCACCTCCTATTATCGGCTACTTACCGTTTGAAGTCTTGGGCACATCCGGATATGATTACTACCACTTTGATGATCTGGAAAAAGTGGTTACGTGCCACGAAACTTGTAAGTAAAAAATGCATTCTTATGCACATTATATTGAACTGTTGTTGTTTTATATAGTGTAAATTAATTACCTATGAAATACATGGTTACAACATTTCAAAGTCTGAGGGCAAAGGGTGAACTCTTCTAAACCAATACACTCACAAAATATACATTTAGATGTATATAAGAACATAAAACATACATGGTACAAGATGGAAAACGTAATTAAAAATAAATCTCGGCAAGAGTATGTGATGTGATGCCAAAAAGGAATCCGTCTCAGCATATGCTACCGCAGTTACTGCAGCAGCATAATCTGCCCTTCTTCATTTTAATTTTTGAAAGAGGTATTCTGGTCTTTCTGATTTTATGCATCCGAACAGAAACGTAGCTAAATGTAAAGCTCTCCACAATAACATTCTTAATATGTCCGACTTATTAAGATATGGAAACTCTTTTTATTTTTCGATGTAAGAAATTGAAATTTTGTTTGTCAAATGCCAACATTTATTTAGTGTATTTACCTATCGTCAGGCAGGTAATAGATTAAATAAATGTAGGCAGTCTCTGTCACTCTTGCTACCTGCGTGATGTAAATAGCCATAATCGCGCGGAACCTTAAGACTGCTCTACATTCCCGCAGGTATTGCGTGCGAAGCCGCCAACCACCCGCGAAACATGAGTGTAGCTCGGTTTCCATGTACATAAGCAATATGCACAAGCAGTCGCATTGAGAACACCATTCTCAGTCCTTCTTTATTTTAAGAATTCCAAAATTCCCGGCTTCTTTGTTGCCGCCTTCGCAGTCGTAGGTATTGAATGATAGGATGCAGCATCAGTTTTGTTATTGTAATTGTATTAGTTGGGGACTTGTATAGTTTCGTAGCCTCGTTCACACATTCGTAGTTGAACTGGTTTTGCTATGAAAGTAGAGATAAATTTACGTGGTAGGGCCATGCTGAGAAAGGTACATTGCGAGGTCCTGTGATGGCGTAAAAATATAGCTGTTTCACATTTTTAATGAAGTTAGGTAAATTTAAAATAATTTTTTGTAATTCTTCATACCATTTGTACAGTTGGAAGTCACGGACACAGACACACACAGTCACACACAGTTGTTCTCACCTGTTGACTGACTGTGTTAAAATACATGGTTTGTAAGTTTTTAATACTTTAAGGTTTTTAATATTTGCTCCTTTGCTACATTTTTTACTTGCTTAGATTATAGAGAAAATCGAAATTCTCAAAATGTTGATTTAAATACTTAAATCTCTAATCGATATTGCTTATTTTAGAATAAATTATGGTGTTAAAAATCTTCTTCATAACGGCTTTTGTGGGATTGTATCGCTGACTTCATATACAAACATCCTCTTTTTGAATTTATTTGGTTTTACTTTTAAAGTTTTTTGGCAGATCATAACTGCTTTTCTCAACAAATTGATGAGTGTTCCTTTCATAATGCCTTGAATCAGTTGCAGATTACTTATTGTTTGTTGCTAACTGCAAAAATCACAAAAAATCGCGAAGAACTGTAAATAATATGATTCGCTTGTTAGTGCTAAAATACAATGTGGCTGTAACTTCAACCCAAAAAAATTTGCATTATTAACTAAAATAATTAGCATTATTATATAAAGCTATGGTTTTCTATTTTCATAAAAAGGTATAAGCATATACATACTCGCAATGATACATGAATGAAAAATACGTGAAATTTCGCCTAAACTTGTCTTTTTCTGTTAATAAAAAGATGGTTAGTAAACAGATAAATAAAATTTAATTCTTAAAAACACGACTAAGCTATCAAATATAGCGCCATTATGCTGATAGATTACCTACTTTTTCGTTTTACAGTTTTATGTCTGTCAAGAGCCTAATCCAGTTAAACATATTCATCACACGTTTAAAAGAACACGATCACAAAACATTTTTAAGATATGTAGTAATGATGTTAATTGAGTGTGATGCGCGAACAAACATTTTCAATTTCGACTGTACCAAGCTGTGCCGTACTTTGTACTGCTCGAACTAGTAGGAGTTCAAGAGTTCTACCCTCATTTCTTTGTTAGCTTATCCTTATTTTTAACAATATTTTTCAATTATACACCTTACATGTAATAATATCATTATTTTCAGTAATGCAAAAGGGAGAGCTAACGTCGTGCTATTATCGGTTTCTGACCAAGGGACAGCAGTGGATTTGGCTTCAGACAAGATTCTATGTCACGTATCACCAGTGGAGCTCTAAACCCGAATTCGTTGTTTGTACGCATCGTGTAGTCAGGTGAGGGGATCATTTTGGGTCTTTTTTACGTTATTTTTTATATTATTAACCCTTACAGATATTTTTTATAGAAGAGGGGGCAAACGAGCATGCGGCTCACCTGATGTTAAGTGACTACCGCCGCCTATGATCAACCGCAACACCAGGGATATTGCAGGTGCGTTGCCGGCCCTTTAGAAAGGAGTAAGCTCTTTTCTTGAAGGTCCCCAGGTCGTATCGGTCCGGAAAAATCGCCGGTGGTAAATTATTCCACAGAGAGGTTGTACGCGGAAGAAAACTCCTTGTGAAACGTACAGTGGTGGACCGCCAGGCATCAAGATGGTGTGGATGGTATCGGGACGTTTGCCGCGTAGTGCGTTCACGAAATTTGGCGGCTGGGATTAATCCGAACAATTCCTCAGAGCACTCGCCATGGTATATGCGAAAGAAAATGCAAAGAGATGCAACATCTCTTCGCAGCGCCAGTGAATCGAGCCGATCGGAAAGCACTCGGTCGTCGACGATTCGAGTCGCTCTGCGCTGGATGCGGTCAAGTGGAAGGAGGTGGTACTGGAGAGCTTCAGTCCAGAGATGGGAACAGTATTCCATGTGCGGCCGGACCTGCGCCTTGTAAAGTTGCAGGCGGCGTGCCGGCATGAAATACTGTCCCGCTCTGCTGAGCACGCCAAGCTTTTTAGAGGCCAATTTGGCCTTCTCTTCCAGGTGACCACAAAACTGCACGTCCCTCGATATGTCGACGCCGAGGATTCCGATACTGGCTGAGGCAACAAGGGGAGTGCCTTGAAACTGAGGAGATACGACAAAGGGGTTCTTTTTAGCGGTTAACGCGCAAACTTGTGTCTTCTGAGGGTTAAACTGGACTAGATTTAGTCGCCCCCAATCCGAGACTGTTCAGCAAAGACTCTACTTCAGACACAAGTTTGTCCCAGTACTCGGAGATGTTTTCCCGAGAAATATTAGCACTGCCAGTGTACAGAGCGTTGGCGATAGCACGCAGCCTTATGGAACACCAGCATTGATAGGCTTGTAATCGCAGCTTGCACCGTCTACAACGACCTTGATGCTCCGATCTGCAAGGAAGCTGGTGATCCAATTGCACAATTTCTCGGGAAGCACGTAGGAAGGGAGCTTCGAAAGAAGTGCTTTGTGCCAAACCCGATCGATGGCCTTCGCAATGTCCAAACTAACGGCTAATGCCTCCCTCTTGGACTCTACTGCCTACGCCCATCTATGAGTTAGGTAGACCAGAAGATCACATCTGATCGACCACGGCGAAAACCGTATTGGCGATCACCAATCAGCTGGTGATCCTCAAGGTACCTCATGAGCTGGCAGTTGACAATAGACTACATTGTTTTGGAGAACAAGGAGGTGATGCCGATAGGCCGGTAGTTGGACGGGTCTGAGCGGTCGCCTTTTTTAGGGCTTGGGTGGACGGAAGCCGTCTTCCATGATTTTGGGACTACGCCTAGGGAGTAGGAATACCGGAAAAGACGCGTTAAAACCGGTGCCAACTCTGGAGTACACGTCCTCAGCATAATTGGGGGATTCTATCAGGCCCACTCGACTTGTAGATGTCCAGGGGGAGGAGTGCTTTGCGAATCGAGCGCTGTGTGAACTGCACTTCCGGCATGGAGCACTCACACCACGGGATGGTCGGCGGCGTACTCCCCCTATCATCGAGAGTCGAGTTGGACGCTAAGAAAGAGCCCAGCAAATCGGCTTTCTCCTTTGCCGTATGGGCTAGTGAGTCATCCTCTCTGTGCAGAGATGGCTGAAGGAAGGCGAACTAGTTTCTCGACAATTCTGCTCCAATTCAATTTAATTTTAATCCAATTGTGCTCCGACTTTGCCTTGGCAATGACTCTTTTGAAGGACCTGAAATGACTACAAATACTACATTTATTGCGCATAATGTGTATTATATGCAAGTATACTTTATTTACATTTACATAGTATATTATACTCTGGAACAGAAGCCGCCGCGGGTACTGGTAGTAAAAGAAAATTAGCTTCAAAATCGTCGATTAGACCAAATAATTCATGTAGTTTTGAAAGTATATAACTATACCAACTTTCAAAACTATCGATAACATATCATGATTTCTTATATTTACGCGAACACTATACATTGATTAAAACTACTTTTACGGATTTTATCACGTTTTATTTATATTAATTTTAATACCCGACGTTTCGGGTGCTTTCGAGCACCCATGGTCACGGGGGACTGAGGTGACTGACGTCCCGATGTCAAAGTTAACCCGGAGTACCTTCAGCTTTTTAATTATTGTCTTTGGTCCGATCTACGCAGAATGAACTAACTGTATTTTGAAGTCTTGCAGTGGTATGCTTGGGTTTAGTTTTAATTTTATTAATTATAGGATCCCAAGCAGGTGGTAGTACCCAGCCTCCTTCTCTATTGAAATTAGGATGTTTTCTAATTTCAATAGCCTCACGTATCATCCTTGGTAGGAATCGATGTTCTTTCGCGAGGATTTGTGGTCTATCAAATCTGATGTAATGGTTGGGGCCATCTAGAATATGATCGCAAACTGCAGACTTCCCGGAACGTTGATGCTTCACGTCAGCTATGTGTTCTTTTACGCGGGTTCTAATTGATCTCTTTGTTTGCCCTATATATGAGAGACCACAATCACAATCAAGCTTGTACACTCCTGAATCTTGTAGAGGAATATGACACTACCATCCGTCAGGTAAGAACTGACTAATCTTCTTCGGCGGCTTGTAGAATGTTCTAATAGAAGCTCGCTTCAAGATGTAGCCAATCTTGTCTGTGACACCTCTGACATATGGTAGTATAGCAGGCACACGCTCGACTGTGGCCGGCTTCACTCGGTCACTGTGACGGAGGCGCGGGACCCGAAGCTTGTTGTCGTGCAGAACCTGCTTGACGTGCTGAAGCTCGGCGGCCAGGTGTTTGCTGTCACAGATCCCTCGTGCTCTCTGAAACAAAAATTTGCCCACGGTAGCTAACTGTGAAGGATGATGGTGAGATTCACCATTTAAGTATCGGTTTGTATGGGTCTTTTTTCTATACACAGTATGACCTTTGATTTGACGTTGTTAGGATTTCTTTATTATAGTCAGTTCTTACTATCCGTCAAGTGTCATATTCCTCTACAAGATGCAGGAGTGTACAAGCTTGATTGTGATTGTGGTCTCTCATATATAGGACAAACAAAGAGATCAATTAGAACCCGCGTAAAAGAACACATAGCTGACGTGAAGCATCAACGTTCCGGGAAGTCTGCAGTTTGCGATCATATTCTAGATGGCCCCAACCATTACATCAGATTTGATAGACCACAAATCCTCGCGAAAGAACATCGATTCCTACCAAGGATGATACGTGAGGCTATTGAAATTAAAAAACATCCTAATTTCAATAGAGAAGGAGGCTGGGTACTACCACCTGCTTGGGATCCTATAATTAATAAAATTAAAACTAAACCCAAGCATACCACTGCAAGACTTCAAAATACAGTTAGTTCATTCTGCGTAGATCGGACCAAAAACAATAATTAAAAAGCTGAAGGTACTCCGGGTTAACTTTGACATCGGGACATCAGTCACCTCAGTCCCCCGTGACCATGGGTGCTGGAAAGCACCCGAAACGTCGGGTATTAAAATTAATATAAATAAAACGTGATGAAATCCGTAAAAGTAGTTTTAATCGATAACATATCAGTTTTGATTGTACACTAAAAATGTTGAGACATAATTCATAGGAAATTTAATGTAGATATTTGATGTAGAACTCACTAAGGAGATATTACAAATAGTTTTCGAGTCACAAGCAAAAAAAAAACTTGAAAAGAGACCTTTCCACCCTTTCCACATTGCTGGCTTGTGTCCTTCCCTCGGGGACTTTTAGTATATTCATCTGAACACCTTAAGGAATATCTGTACCAACTTTCAAAACTGCATGATTATTTGGTCTGATTTCCTTAATTTTCCTAGGCTATGGTAAATTATGTATAAGTAAATCGTATTGGAGGCAGGATTCAATTTGAATTCCAGTGTGGGGAGTAATTTTTTTAAGAAAATACAAAATAATGCATTTTGCATTTTCTTAAAAAAATTACTTAATTAAATGTGGTGAACGAAATAGTAATTAAAAGAGTATGCTGGTTTTCTGTTCAACAACAGGTCAATTTTTTTTAATTAGTAGTATTTTGTATTTTATTAAACACATTGATACTATTTCACAAATTGAACCATTATTTCTGAAACAATAAAACCAACTCTCTGGCATGCCATGACCAAGTAAGTGGTATACAAGCCATGTGCCCTTCCGTTAATCTCATTTACACATAACAACACACCTATTCCTCCATCATATCTCATCATTATCTCACCTACTTCATCCATCTTATCATTCATTGCTTTACATACATACAGCATAGCCAGACGGGCTTCCTGAATCTACTTTTTGCCCCTGCGGTAGACAGAATGTGACCGAATATGTAAAATAAAGTGAAAAAACAAGTAAGAGTTTCTTACTTCTTTCGGTTGTAGAGTTAATGTGCTCAATTTAAAATGCTCAAATATTCAACCTAAGTCCTTTTCAAATCCAGTCCTGGATAAATGGAATTCCATAAGTAAATGCGTAATTGAGTGCACATTTTATCGGGTATAACATTAATTTGACAAAATGTAGGCGATATTTATATATTTAATTAACATTTTCAGCAATGCCGACGTTGTTAAAAGCACAAAGCAAGAGGGCGTCGATACTGACACGGTGAACGAAACAGATGTTAATACCGGAGGGATTGAAATAACATCGTCCGAAGATGCGACTACCGCGTTGTCTCCCACATATATGTCTGATACTGATGACACATACACCAGCTCTTATCAGCCTCTTTCACAAGTAAGTACTAATACTTGGACACAAGTTGCAATTTATTATGTAGTCCATCCATTTTTAAAATTTTTGGAAATAGAGTACTAAGCCAAAAGGGATAAACTTTTTTTCTCAAAAATTTTTTTTTCTCAAAACAGTTGTAAAAGCTGAATGTTCTCATCCTAATTGATTTTTCTAATGCATTTAATTCTGTCGATCATGGTATCTTGTTAGCTCTTCTTTCTCATTTGAATATCTCGTCTTCAGCTCAGGAATGGTTCTCAACATATCTTCGAGGGCGCCAACAGGCTATGCGTACTGGTCATATACTTTCTGACTGGCGTGATGTATCAATTGGCGTCCCTCAAGGCGGTATTATCTCTCCTCTTCTGTTTTCCATTTTTATAAATCTCATCACACTAAATCTCAAGAGCTCTTACCATTTGTATGCTGATGATCTGCAGTTATATGCGCAAGTGGAGCCTTCAAATATTCTAAGTGCTATTTCACTGTTAAATGATGATTTCAAAATATATCTCAGAATGGTCTACTGTGTATGGCATAAATGTGAACCCATCTAAATGCCAAACTATAATCTTAAGTAGCTCAAGATTATTATCTAAACTGGACATTCCCACCCTACCATCAATTATGTTTAATAATAATGCCATACCATTCTCTACTAACGTAAAGAACCTTGGTCTGTACATCGATGGTTGCTTAACATGGAACAAACATATACAGGAGGTGAGTCGCAAAACTACTGGAACTTTGCGATCTCTATATCGATTTAAATACTTTCTTCCCACCAATACCAAGATTTTACTTGTCCAATTACTTATTGTACCGATTATTGATTATGTCGATGTGTGTTGTTCAGACCTGTCTCAACTTCATCTTAATACATTGGATCGTCTGCTTAACAACTGCATCAGATACATTTATGGTCTTCGTAAATACGACCATGTATCTTCCTTTCGTACACAGTTAAACTGGCTGCCTATCCGTCAGCGCAGATATGTTAGAATACTCTGCACCCTTTTCTCAATTTTGAACGATCCATGTGCTCCCGAGTATCTGAAATCTAAATTTCAATACCTGGGAGATTCTCATAATTTTTCTCTCCATGCCTCGGCCAATTCTTAAGTTGCTCACTCCTTTACATCGTACTGGTTATTTATCTCACTCTTTCTTCCTCATGGCCATCAGACTCTGGAACGACATTCCTCTTGACATTGAAAAAGCTCCCAACAAATTCGTCTTTAAAAATCAAGTCTGTAAGTATATGATTAAATCGTTTGAATTAACTCAGCTCTCTTTTTCGTATTTATTTCATATTTGTTCTAACCTATTGTGTATGTATATATATAGATATATACTTATATATTTATGTGTATGTATGTATGTATATATATTCTATTATATATTTTTATATGTATATGTGTATGTAATATGTATGTATTGTTTATTATATATATTATTATTTCTTTTATCCTCTTTAGTTGATTATTGCTGCACCGCCTCCATAATGTCTATCTCTGTTTAGCCTAATGGTTGACTGGGAGAGAAAGCCCTATGGCATTAAGTCCGCCATATGTACTTTTTTGTGCATGAAAGCATAAATAATTAAATAAATAAAAGCATAAACGTCTTTAAATAAGTGTTATCTATTATCTATATTTATTCTTCTATTCTATGCTTCACGTCTACTCCGCTTTTCCTAATTATGATATAATGCTGTCTTAGTATAATATTTTTACTTCTGTTTACTTATTATTTGTATGCTTCGTTATTTAAGTATTTGCTGACTGGGTAAGAACCACAAAAGTTATAATCTAAGCCAATATTGTGTAATTGGCCAAATAAAATAATAGCGTAGGCCTTAGATAAAGATTACTACTAGAAAACCAGGCAGAAATTAATACTGTGCGGTATGAATAAATATCGTATCTTCATTTATCGTTACAACATAATGCAATATATCAGAGTAGGTACTAAATATTAAAAGACTGTGGAGTCCGTTTGCACGGAGTATGGCAGCGTAGAGGCCTTTTCCCAGCTGCAAATAGCAAGAGTAGAAGAGGTATAAGAGATCTATGCCTGGCGATAGGGCGTATGTATTTCATCATCATTCATCATTACAGCCCTTCACAAGTCCACTGCTGAACATAGGCCTCCCCCAAGTAGTGCCACAAAGCACGGTCCTGAGCCACCTGCATCCATCGACTTCCTGCATGTCTTACCAGGTCGTCACTCCATCTAGTGGGGGTCGCCCTACACTTTGTCTACCGGTAAGAGGCTGACACTCGAGAACCTTTTTTCCCCAACGGTTGTCGGTTCTTCGAGCTATATGGCCGGCCCATTGCCACTTCAGCTTACTAATCCGTTGGGCTATGTCGGTCACTCTGGTTTTACTGCGGATATCCTCATTTTTAAGTTTATCACGCAAAGAAACTCCGAGCATAACCATAGCTCGCTGAGCGACTTTGAGCGGTACGTATGTATTTACATAACATAACATAACATAAACACTCACGCCTGTCACCCAGAGGGGTAGGCAGAGATTACGGACTTCCATTTGGCACGATCCTGACATACCTCTTTCGCCTCCTTTACATCCATATATCTACGCATACATGCTCGTCGGTTAAGGGTACTTCTAACGTGGCCCATTTTCAAAATATCGCCAATTTGGTCGACAAACTTTTTTCTAGGGCGTCCCTTCCCGACTCGGCCGTTCACATCTGCCATATAAATTTGCTTTGTCACTCTTTCATCATTCATTCTTTCTACGTGACCAAACCACCGAAGCATTCCTTTCTTAATCCTGGTCACAACATCATCTTGCATACCACATTTATCTCTTATCACGCAATTTCTCACCCTGTCATTCAGATTAAACCCTAGCATATTTCTTAAAGAACGCATTTTTTACAGCATTTATTCTACTTTCGTGCTTCTTCTGCCACACCCAGCTTTCACTACCATACATTAACGTAGGGACTAACACAGCATTATGAATTACCATACGTGCCTGTTTTGACACATTCTGGTTCTTCATAATAGAGTGTAGTGCCCCATTCACTCTATTCCCTGCATTTACTCGTCGTTCTATATCCCTATCATATCTACCATCCCTGCTAAATACACATCCCAAATACACAAACTCATCCACTTGCTCAATTAACTCTCCTTCTATTCTTATTTCACATACCGTTTTGCTTTCTTCTCTTTCAAAAACCATCACTTTCGTCTTACTTGCGTTCACTTTCATTCCCCTTTCTTTTAATTCCCAGTTCATTAATGTAACCATCATTTGCAACTCAGCCGCTGATGACGCAAATATGACTTGATCATCGGCATACAAAAGGCATTTGACGGTTAACTCGCCCATTCTTAAACCACATTCTTCATCTTTCAAAGTTTGCAAACACCGGTCCATAAATAGGTTGAACAGCCAAGGGGAAGCTACACAGCCCTGTCTGACACCTTTTTGGATGCCAAACCAGTCCGAGTAGACCCCATTGATTCTGACACAAGCACTAGAGTCCCTATAAAGAGACCTTAATGCCTGTATCAAACCAGCGCTCAACCCATATGAGTTCAGTGTTTGCCATAACACATTCCTGTCCACTCTGTCATAAGCCTTTTCCAAGTCCATGAACGCACAAAAAACTTTCTGGTTTTTGGCCAAAAACTTCTCCGCAATCATGCGCATGGAAAAGACTTGATCTGTGCACCCCATTCCCTTTCTAAAACCCGCTTGCACATCCCAAATTTTTCCATCAGTTTCTTTCATAACTCTTTCAATTAACACCTTAGCATACAGTTTACCCACAATACTAAGCAAGCTGATACCGCGGTAGTTTTTGCAGTCCTGCTGTGACCCTTTTCCTTTATATATTGGTACTATAACTGCTTTACACCAGTCATCCGGTACCCGTTTTAATTCCCAACATAAATTAAACAAGGTGTACAGCATGCCTGCCACCACTCCCCTCTCCAGCCCTTAGCATCTCGAGTGATACTCTATCATATCCAGCTGCCTTACCTGCTTTCATGCTTTTCATTGCTTTCATTATTTCATCTACACTTATCTCCATACCCCTTTCCACTTCTTTCGGAATTTCTAGTTCATTTAATTCATACGACTCTTCACTCATAAACACGCTTTCAAAGTATTCCTTCCATCTGTTTAAATTCGAAACTTCATCATTCAGAATACATCCATTCTCGTCTCTTATAGCATTTATTATAGGCTGTTTTGTATTTCCCCTGGCAGTTCTTACGAGTTTCCAGAACATTTTTATGTTAGCCTGGAAATTATCAGATATCCTTCTATCATTCTTATCCATTCTTTCTTTCTTTTTCCTTTCAACAACTTCTTTTACTCTCTTATTTAGACGTCTAAATTCTGCCTTTTTTCTTTCAATCTCATCATTCATACCAGAAGAATTACCAGCTTTGGTTGCTAGTAAATCTAACCATGCTTTCTTCTTTGATTCAACTTCCACCCGTACCTCATCATCCCACCACAACGTATTACTTTTCCTTTCATTTGTTCTTTTACTTACACCACATACTTCGGTGGCGGTATCCACCAAACCTTTCTTAATATTATCCCACACAGTCTTCAAGTCTAAATCATTCATACACAACTCATTCAAACATCTAATATTTTCTCTCAGTCTACATTTATACTTCTCTTTCACATCTTCATCTTGTAACTTCTCTATTCTTATACGCTGTAACGCAGTGGTAGACACAGATGTCCGATGCCGCCAACGCTTGAAAAGACCATTAATTCGACATAAGACCAAGTAATGATCCGTCCCTACGTTGGACCCCCGGTAAACCCTTGTATCTACGACTGCGCTCCTCATTCTTTCATCCACAATTACGAAATCTATCATGCTTCTATCATCACCTCTTTCCCATGTATACATGTGAATCTTCTTATGACGAAAAAAAGTATTCGTCACAAAAAGATTCTTTTTCCGCACATACGGTGAGGAGGTCTTCACCATTCTCATTTATACTTTCATCACCAAACGTTCCCAATATCCTTTCATAACCAGACCTCTTCACCCCAACCCTTCCATTAAAGTCTCCTAACATAATAATATTTTACATTTTCCTTACATTTTGTCAACACCATCCTTACCATGTCCCAAAACTGCTCTCGAATGTAAGCGGGCTTAGACATGTCTGGGGCGTACACCCCTAGCAGGAACAGCTTCTTTAAGCCCACTTTCATTCGTATCCATAGCAGTCTCGGGCTTACACATTCATACTCTTTCACACATTGACCCATTCTTTCTGAAAGGATGAAACCGACTCCCTGGCACGCCCGTTCGGTCTCGCCTACACCAGACCAATACGCGGTATACGTGCCATGTGCAGTGGCATCCTTTCCCTTTCGTTTCGTCTCATTCACACATAACACATCTATTCCTCTGTCATTCATCATTTCGCATACTTCATCCATCTTATCATTCATTCCTCCACATACATTCAGCGTAGCCAGACGGGTTTCCGCAATCCACTTTTCGCCCCTCCGGGAGACAGAACGTGACGGGTGGCGAACCTCGTCGCCGGTTTTTCTCCCGGAGATTCTTCGCACCCCTGCCCCATTTAAGGGGCGCCGGGAACTCGGGGCCATTTCTTTTATTTCCTGAGTCATTCGAACAAGGGGTGGTGGTAGATTTTACGCCGCTACCATACGGCGAGGAGCCGAGTCTATTTTTTCGGCTTTGTCGCTCGTTTAGCACCACCCGGGGGACACGTGTAGGGTGGGGTACGTATGTATTTATTACAATATAATTATATATAATTTTTAACATTATTTTTATAAAAAAACTTTTGTCTCTACACTTTGCTTTTTAATTGCACATGGACAAGCATTCAGACTCGGAACAATTATTTGTAGACCATCCAAACACACTTTCTGTACGGAATTTTAACCCGTGATTTCCGTCGCTAGCCAAATGCTTAGCCAGTGCGTTACGGAGTCGTCAAATATCCAGTGGCGAAGCTTCCATTAAAGCCGAAAAGCCGGGCTTGCCTTATTAAACCTGAATCAATCAATAATATCAATCAATAATATCAACTAATAAAATAACTCGTAAAATGTTTCAAGCTATTTCAAATTTCCCGTGCACTCCACTGTTCGACACATGTCGACCGATGACCTCGTATGACTCGGATGACCTCGTATGATATTATGCAGCAGTATCGCTAAGGCGATATTGCTGCAGTCATAAAAAATGAGTTTTAATAGAGCTAATAGTTGTCTCCCTCGCTCGCGTGGGCTTTTTACGGGGCTTTCGAGAAGACGATCGCTCTCTTTCTAACCTACGGCAAAATATTCTATAATGAAATATAACTACGATTGTATATATAGCAATTAGTATAGAGATTTAAAGCCAGGCTTTTGGGAATAAATTTGTTAAAAGCGGAGGCGCGCGGGCAATACGTTTGCAAGTTCATTTCACGTTTCAATGTTTATTTACTCTGTGTGCTTATCTTAAGCGATTTAATATTACGAGTTCAAAATTTATGCTTTTTTAAAGATTTTTAATGAAAATGGAGGATAATAGTGTTCCTTGTGATGAATTGAAGTGTGTTAAAGTGATAATCGGAGAGGAAATCTTTAAACTTTGTTAAGATAATACACAAGGTTAAGAGTGTATTTCAGACTTATCAATTATCGCAATTAAAAACAGTTATTGGTACAATTAAAACGTTCACCAACATTTTACGTGGACGTAATTAAATCTTTCCATAAGAAAGCGAGACGATTCTACTTATCTTATCTTATCTCTTATCCATTAGAATGTAAATAATTTTTTTTTAATTTTGTACATAGTTTGTTTGTATTTTGTTAGTATTTTACTTTTGATCATGTATTGTATTGGATGTAAATATTTTTTTCTTTCGCTTTAACAAACCCAAACGGCTTTCTTCAAAGCCACCGAAGCTATGCAATTGCTGACATGTAATACAATCTATCTAGCAGTGGTATGCCTTCTATGTGCTTTGTTAAACACGTCCTTGACAGCACTGAATATGAAACTGAAGCATGGAGACAGATCAAGATTGGTGTATTTTTATAAAACTGCTAAAAACAACAATCTATATTTTTATCAATTTATATCTTGGGCTTGCCCTAGCTTGGAGTTCTAGCTTCGCCACTGCAAATATCATTATTACTTTTTTGTTCATAAAAATTAAGTGACGAATGAACTTACAGCCCGCTTCAGTGAAGTCGCAATCGGCCAGTAATACAAGCGGTACGATGACTACCGTCAGTACCAGCGCGACCACGGGCCCCTGGCCGTGTGCTTCTCACTTGTGCTTCACCGCTGGTTCAGACACGGTCTCTATATCCGGCGAATCCCGTTCCTCGCAACCGAACAACTCACGTGAGGTAAGCGATGAAGGCTTGAGGAAGGCGTTTTTGAATCGGCGCCAGTGTTTGTAATTAAAATTTAACTACGGTAATTTCATGCAAGGAACGATTGCATAGCAATGGTCACAATGATCTCATTTACATATTAAAACCAGATCTGTTTAAATACAATTAAAAAATAACAGTTTTAACAATAAATGGACATTTTATGGTCAGTTTTAAAATTGGATATAAATTCTTGTTTATTTTGATAATGTGAAAAGTTTTTTGAAATTAATTAAAAAAAATGAATGTAATGATAATAAATGATAACCTTTCAACTGCGGAGACTCTAACCGTCATACTCCGTTGACTGCGGAGCTGTTTAATAAAATTGACGGCGCATTGGGCGAAATCCGTTTAAATTTCTTGATTTTGGTATATCAATGGAACTGAATTCTCTATGAAATATCCTATTAACGAGTACATAAATTAAATACAGTCCCAAAGTAATAAGTGTAAGTAAATATTGAATAAAGACAAAATTGTTTCTCGATGAAACAAAGTTTTTTAATACTTCGATTTTATTTTCATTTAATTTTAAATCTATTGTTTACAATATTTTATGCGTAAAATCATAGGCTACAATACAATTTTTTTATCATAAAACGCATTAAGAGTCCGTGCAGAAAATTTATTTGATAGAGTTTAGGCAAATTCATTACGGTGCTATCGGCTAAAGACCGAGCGCAGTGCTCGCTTTAACAATTTTGATCCTTTAGTTGATAATTATTTTAGGATTTATAGTAAGTACGGTTTAGAAATAAAAGTTTGGAATGTTTTTGTATAATAGTTTAGTATATATATTACAATCAACATAAAATGAAAATAAAAAAGAAATGTGTTAGACAAATACACTATGCATATATATTTAGGTAATTCAATGTTTTCGTTCTGCGATGTCATTAATGTCTGCTAGAGAGTATAGACAAATTTAACATGTCTTATTAGTATTTGCCCGAAAATCAAACATCGTGATTTAATTAAAACAAAGTTTTTGTAAATGCAAAACATTTAAATTTAAATATTAGGCCGTATATGAGAAACGGAATGTTAAAGGGATAAATAAAATACGGAGCACGAGTGCGTGACGTTCACGTCAAGTAAATACTTTGATTTTAAAATTGATAATACACGTTTCTTTTATAATATTTACTCAATGTTTTGAATTCATTTTTATCCATGAGGGATACAAAGTACACATTTTGGAAAAAACAAGCCGAACATGCTAAAGGATACTTGTATTTTCGATAAAACATTCGGCCTATTTAGTTTAAATCTATGTCCAATATCGGTTAAAATAAAAAATAATTATTAATTTTGAATATGAATATGAATAAAATAAGAATATATTGAATTTATAGACGCCAGCACAAGAACCTACGCCAATCTGTCAAATTTCTTTAAATATCTGTCAAATTTCTTTTAATAGATTTTTTACTTTATTACAAAAGGAGAAGGTAGGAAGGGAAAAATTTTAAAGCTTAGGATAGGTTGACGTGCTGGTGTCTGTACTTTATGCACGTCTAGCGCTGAGCAAAATTAAAAACTCACGTGTTCTAGAGACGAATTCGTATTAGAATTGAAACGTACAGAACATACTGCAAGAATTTGTCTAGCATATGCCAATCCTGCCTTATTTTCTTTTCTTTTAGTAATGCTCTGGTAACGTGTTCCTTTTATTGGTCCCATTGTCTACAACAAAATTATACATTATAACCAGTTACCTACAGGGCATACCCTAGATCAGGGATGGCGAACCAATGGCACGCGGCAAAACATTTTGGGCAAGCCACCGATCGACAAAGTACGTAACAAACACTATGAAAAACAAAAGAACGCGACTAAGCCTACGTTACGGAGTGAGTAGGTGCGGTGTTGCTATTATTGTTTTTATTATTTTCCCAATAATTACTAGGTTTCAATTATTGGATGGCACATCCATGGCCGCTTTAAACATTTATTTACAAAGAATGGCACGTTGATCTTTATAGGTTCGTCACCCTGCCATAGATCACAATTTAGGTATCTTAATTTTGACCCAATTCGATGCAGCCGTGGGTGGTATTTTTGCATTGGGTGCGTTTGGCAGAAAAAAGCGCTAGCAAGCGCTTGTAAGCAAAATGGCGATCGTAAGCGGTAAGCGCTGTCAAATCGTAAGTAGCTATTTTCCTCCAGGACACGATGTTAGTTTTAACCGAGGAACCTAACCTAATTTAAATATAAGTTTGTAAAGTATTCATATTAAAAACTTACCAATCATGAATTTTTAATAACATGTATATGTTTATTCATGTCATTATATTACTTAAAACTAATATTGCGCAAAACAACTTATAAACTCTACTTCAAAACAAACAAATTAAATAAGCAAAATGGCGGATTGTGTCAGCGCTACTGAAGTAGCAATCGTGTCCTTGCCGAAAACTATTTCAGCGCTTATAAGCGCTTGCTAGCGCTTTTTTCTGCCAAACGCACCCATTATTTCATGCGGACATAATGAAATGCAACAGTAGACAAAATCGTATTTTATGAATGGTATCTGAAATGGCTACTAATCATTAAAAAAAACTATCAAAAATAAAATATCAATGAACATAGCAGACGTACTGAGACAGCAGCCGGGTCTAACTATTAGGTACTAAGAACCACCCAGGTGATCCTATACGAAGAAAAAAATCATCATAATTGGTATAGCCATAAACTATCCAAAAAAAAAAATACTTACCCTGATCAAAATTTGGTGGTCAAAATGTTTACGTAAAACACGGGAGCGCCTGCGATACTAAGTGATACGTCCTCGCTCTGGGAAGGCCCGGTCGTTACTGATCGGATGGATTTTTTTTTGCGCCCGAAGCAATTAAAGGGCTAACTTATACGTAGGGAGGCGGAAAATGCATTACGCATACCATGATAGCCGGTCTGTCGTGGTAATGAGGGACTCACTGTCCTACCGGGGACCCTAAGTGATACCCTCTAAAAACCGCCTTTGGGGACAGGCAGCCGGCTGATTAAGCTGTATTGTACCTTATCGTGAGCGACCCTCTTTTGGGAAAAGAGGGCGCAGAATCGGATCGATTTTGCGCGATCGATAATATAGTTCACTTTGCCATTTAGTAATAAACAAAATTATTATTTGTTTATGAAATAAAATTTAGTTTCCAATAAAGGGTTATCTTAAGATTAAAGTGTAATTTTTTAAATTAATTGAAAGTGTTTCTATGTAATAGAAAAAAATACTTATTTCGAACGAAGTTTGCTGGAAATTACGTTGTTTCAACAATTTTTTTCTGCTATATTTGGATAGAAATTAAAAAAAACTGATCTGGCTACAAACAAGTAGACCTAATACTTATGTTATTTATATTTTCAATGTTTGAAATATTTTGTAGTTTCGTTGTAAAACGAAGACAAAAATCACTTGATCGTTACTTTTCGGAAAAAGGGTTGTGAATATTGGTGATTTGCCATTATTATATAGATAATATTGTTACGAACTTGAGGTTCGTGACAATAAAAACTGCCGATTGAATTACCAAAATTAATTCTCCTAACTCCTGCTGGCGTTGACTTCGGGTACGGACACCCTCCGTTTCCTCCTTAGGTAAAATCGGCATAATTTTATCCCACTTCTGACGCCAATCGTCACGAGCTTGAGGTTCGTGACAATAAAAATTGCCGATAGAATTACCTAAATTAACACTTTAATTCACTTTACACTAATTAAACTTAAAACACTAATAATTAATCACACTGATTCACTTTATTTCGCTCCGAAGTTTCGCTTGTCTCGCCGAATTCAATACTTCCCCGATCGCACCTTGCAGCGCCTATAAATACACATTAGCACAGAAACATCCAGAATATTCAAGTAAATACGCGCACCAATCGACAAGGCAGTAAATACGCGCAAGGCGTCGAAAGTTCGAGTGTCGGCTTCTAGAAGCTTAGTTCTTCTTTTCGACACCAGATGGCGCTGTCATTTGAAAGATTAGTGATGTCATTTTCTGGAAAGCTCCCCCCGCTCTCGTCCCTGACACTACATGACGTCAAGTTAGGCGCGCAACACTGCCCCCTCCTAAGACATGCTCGTCCCGAGCATTATCGGCCCCATAATAACGCGCCAAGCGATCCACATGGACGATGTTAGGAGTCCCTCTTGCGCCTTTCTGTATCCGGTAGGTTACATCGTTGAACCTGGTTACAATGCGGTACGGGCCGTTCCATTTAGCTTGAAGCTTGTAGTGTTATGCTACTTACATATCATTTTACACTATTTTAAATTTATTTTTCCATTCTATTTTTGATTTTCTGCATTCACCTCAAAACTGGATATTTTGCATCACTTTTTGTCCTGTAACGTTTTTAAACCATAAGAACACAATAACAAATCATTTTCACTTCGTATTTTCACGCTATCAGCACCTTTTAAATCGGTGTCAATGGAGTCTACCTTTTTTGATCTTTTATTTAGTTCTCCGTAACTGCGATTTCGGGCTTCGTGCGCGCTGTTGCGCTACCTTTTTTCCTATATCTATAATATCTCATGTTTCACTTAAATCTTGCCGTTTCTCTATTACGAGCCTGAAACCAAAATTTGACATCGTTGTTTATCTGGTTGTCATGGCAATTTTTATTCAAATTCGTTACCGGTCTGATGTTTTTACTTCAAAACTTCCACAAAAATACTCTTTTCTTCTTGGACATTTACAAAAATTTGTTTTTAATTTAAATAATTTCCCGTTCTTATCTCAGATCCGTCGTCGAGCGCGGAGCTCTCTAAAAAAAGTATAAAAGCCGAACAATCGGCCAATAAAGTGAGTCTCGCTTCAGCTTTCAAAGTAGAAGCATCTCCTAAAGGCCTTATCCCGGGGCCGCACTGCCCCGGGATCCTGCAAGCCTCTGCCTTCACCTGAAGTCGTCGCCTAGCCACGCCTACGCCTCCACCTACTAGTGCCCGCGCTATCTTTAGCCGCTGT